ATAATACTGCACACCTGTTGAACATAATCGTCACAAATATTTTTTATATATTTGCCATTGAAACAATAAGTGAACATTCTATTTAAGTCTTTTTTTGTTATACATGTACGTGTGTGATTTATCTCTAAGAGCGGCTCAATTGTACTCTCGTTTCGGCAGCTATTACTACAATACGAGTAGATTACGTCATATGAATAAACAAAAGTAAAAAATCGTGGAAATTATATCCAATCTATTGAAATTCAGTTCAAAGTAGGTTGAGTCTATATCTCACATGCGCATACGATTTCAAGTGCAAAAAGTCATTTTGTGAAGACACATGACGGTAACGACTCTCGAAAATGTGCATAATAAGGTGTTAGAAGATGGGTAGCATTATCTATAGAGCAGTGGGTTTTAGAAGTCGAACGATTTTTTTACCATGAGATTACTGAAGTGATGTTACACGAATCAAACTATTGTATTGACTGAGCAGGTATTATGAAGAAAAATGTACTGTTTTACCTAGGCACATATTCGTAGTGGGTTCGGGGTGGAGCGTAGTGAGAAACCCTCGAACTATAACTGAAAATATTGGTTTGTCGAAACTGAGTCCGCCTCTCGAATTAATAGCGCGATTCCAAATACCTTCGGGCATTAGACTCGCCTACTTAAAGTGTGTAATTCTTAGTGTCATAGAAACACACATGAATAATGTGTTGAGAGTGCTTAAAAGACGTGAAAGCCACAGCTACACAATAGATTAACCAGTTGCTATGAGTCCTCTAATCGTCATTTACCACATGAAGATTACTTCACACCTTTCCAATGATAAAATATGGTTCGACTGTTATAAGTTTTATTATTATTGTTTGTTACCATAGCAATTTTTGTACGCATTTCAGTGGTACAATTGGTTGGTTGTATATTTAAAAAGTTCCAATACGCTGGGAGACAACACAAACACCTTAACAAATTAAAAGTTTCCCTTTATCTTACATTTCGTATCCGTACAATTGTACTACTGTAAGTGGTCCATGGAACTTGTTTAAGGAAACTCACCAACAATTTTTCGACATGATACTTTTTACTTTATGTAAAATACAAATTTTATCGGTGATAGATTCTGACAGAATCAATGTTGGGCGCAATGCACTGAGCCAATCAGTAAATGGTGAAGAATCGTTTTTTACATCTCCCTTTTTATCGATTTCTAGAACATTTTGAAAGAAAGATCGCCAAAATTCAATCAGTGGAAAGTACATAAAAATCCTGATTGGTTTGAAATATGGTAGAAGCAGTTGTACTTGCTGGCGAGGAAGTATTGAATTCGCGAAGCAACTCGAAAACGAGATATCCTTTTGGGATCTCATCTGTGCATTGAGAAAAACATTTAAATAAATCAGTTATAATTTTAATCAGACCAATTAAAAATTCGAATAAACGAAGTGACAGCTAACAAATTTAATTAGCATTTAGACTTTAGCTGGATAGGCAGAGGTGGACCAATTCCGTGGTCTGCTAGATCCCCGGACTTGACACCATTGTATTTCTATGTCTGGGGGCGGGCTAAACAGTTAGTTTACACTGGATAAATCGTATCAAGAGACCATTTAATAAGAAAAATTCGAGAAGCATTTAATTAAATAATAATTTATGATTTAAATTTGAAAATCCAAATATCCCGAAAACCGTAAGACTTTGTACTGAGGTATGTTTAGCTTAAAAGGCTCTAAATGGTTTGCCCTATCCCCTCCCCAAGACTTTGTATCGACCTTCCAAACACTCTGTAGATAAAAATTTTACACAAGGTTACTACTATGCCAAGGTCGAAGAAACATTGTAGGTTTTGAAAAAACTAAAAAAAAAAACGCATAAAGTTCATTTTTTGACATTAAGATCGCGACCATTTTTGAAAAATGTAGGGGTCAAAAATATATCCCAATTTTTTGGTTTGGTATATTAATATGCTCCCAACGCACCTATTAGACATATTTCACACATCGTAGATTTCCCCGTAGATTTGCCTTTAAAACTTAGAGTGAAAGAAATGTTTTCGATACGGCTTCCGGTAAGAGTTCAGGTATTACTGCTGCGCTGCCATGTCTGACCGGGTTAGGTTTTGGAGAGATGCGACGTTGCCCAATGAACTATCGGTATAGAGGGACAACAATGTCTATGAACTAATTGTATGGACCTGTTTGACTGACGTGATCCGTTTAATTGTTGTACATATTCGCAGCTAACTATTTTCTTAAAGGGTCTATCAATGCAATATTTTTTTTGAAGAAATATACTAGATAGAGCCTAAAGAATAAAATCCATAATACATATACTTGACATTTCATCATGGTGTGTACTGAGCCGTAAAAGAAATTAATGAAATGTCATGGCATCCCGAAATGCCTCGGACGTCGCGATTGTACTAAAGAATATAGCTTACCAATACGTACGTAATTATAAATTTTAGTACCTGTGCTCAATTCAAGTAATACGATTTTTTGTTATGCCAAATAAAATGTGAAGGTCGAAAACAGTTTATGGGACAATTTGATGCCACACATACTGAAGAATTATTAGACATGAATCAGCAAATCGTGTTCCATGTTATTAGTTACCGAATACTATAACAATTTAATAGTTATAGCGATTCTAAGATAAAGTCGGTGGTATTTATCATGCCTTTTCTGTTTTTTTCTACTTACTCATTCTGGTTATTTTGGGATACACATCCTGATAATGTCTGAAAAGATGAGGCCGTCGAAACAATACACTGGTTTGGTTGAGCGCGGTCCTCAGCACCTTCACTTCACGCTTTGGTTACTCTGAGGGCTTGTTAGACTTCTAATTAACCCGTTCAGGAAATTAACAGCATCATCGTGCCTGAGACTATTCTGACAAGCATGGGTGTAAAGCTAGAAATATCCTAAACCTAGCTGAGAGAGATTAGGTCACACTAGATCATTTTCTTGTTGTTGTGCCTTTTTCTATTTCCTGAAGTTGGGTTGGGTCAGTAGGACAATCTTTCGTTTTGATGCTGCTTTGTTAAAAGTTCAGCAGGTGATTTTCGGAACTATTCCCGGGGGTTTTTTAGCCAGGAGTCTCTTCTTCGACTAGACCTTTCTTACCATTAATTTTGCTTGGAAGAAAAGTTAGCAGTATGTATTAGTTATTATACACGATTTTAATATCCTGTTTTTTTTTTTGCTTGCGCAAAACCTTACATCTTGTCTTACTCCATACTTATCTCCATATTACTAATTATGATGCTATCACTTTGTTTTGATCTGACCTACGTATTATTTTCCATCAATTCCAAGGATTGCTTGTTTCCTTCTATATGAAGCCAAAGCTAGAAGGTATCACGACACTATACAGAAGTTAAGGTTTCTATTGATCGAATTTTTGAACTGGTCATTAGAACAGGGAGACAGCTCTTCAGGCATACCCTCTACAGCCCAGGAACAAAGGACCAGTCGTATCAGTCAGTTTTATTTATTTATTTATTTATTTATTTATTTATTTATTTATTTATTTATTTAATTACACCACCAACAGTTTATAAACCAATTACTGGTGGGAAATACAGTACATATATATAAAAATCACAAAATACACTAATTGCATTGATTGCTTAGTAATTACCAATAAGAACCCATGAAAAGCTACCACTGATCATAGCTCAATCAAACTGTGGTAGCTCTAAAAAAACTACCGCTTTACATACTCTCTTAATAATAGAAATGGATGTGTTGAAGGTATCAAAATAATTCATATAGTCATTATAACATGAGCATATCGAATATAGCGGCAGTAGATTCGTTCGTGGGGTAGGCAGGTAAAAAGCAAGGTTGGCCCTTGTTCGTACTCTAGGTGTATTGAAATTTAGCACAGACAAAAATGATGGACAGTCATGTTGGTAATTGATAACTTTGAAGAAAAAGACTAAAGATTGTATCTTCCTTCTATCATAAAGGCTGAGAAACCTATGCTTTTGAAGTAAGTTATTTTGTGAAATCCCTATGGGAGGATAAACACCATCAGTTTTAAGAGATAAATACTTCAAGAACTTCCTCTGAATTTTTTCCAATGAGTCACATGAGGTAACATAGCATGGGTTCCAGATTATCCTTCCATATTCCAGCTTAGGAAGAACAAACGAATTGTGCAGCACTGTAGGTGCTGTGGTACCAATAAACTCTCTTGAATTGCGTATAACGAATCCCAGTGCTCTGTTGGCAGAATTCACTAAATTAGTTAGGTGTGCACTGAAGCTCAATGTCCTGTCAAATATTACTCCTAGGTCCCTGAACTCCTCTAAAGTCTGAAAAGAAGTGCTATTAATTTTATAACTATTGGTAATTGAATTTACTCTCCTAGTGAAAGTCAAAGATTTACATTTGCTCACGTTGATGGGAAGTTTATTAGCAGCACACCACTCAGACAGTCTGTCAAGATTCCTTTTTAAATAAAAGCAACTAGATGGATCATCAGTTTGCCAGTACAGTTTTACGTCGTCCGCGTAGAGCAGAATATTGCAGTCAATCGTATTAACTAAGTCATTAATAAAAATCACGAATAGTAGTGGACCTAAGGAAGATCCTTGTGGGACGCCAGTAGATGGAAACAAGTGAATTGATTTACCACCGTTAAAATCCACCTATAGCCAATGCTATTTAGTTTTCCCAGTAGTAAACCATGATCGACTCTATCAAATGCTTTACTAAAATCAGTATATAGCACATCAACCTGACCATTAGAATCTAAAACACCTGCTAGGAATTGAGTTAAACAGACTAAGTTTGTTGTTGTCGACCTTCCTTTTACAAATCCATGTTGTGCTGTAGAAATTGAAGAACTTACGTTGTATTGTATGAAATTATGTAATAACATTTCAAAAGTTTTCGAAAAATTACTCACAACACTGATAGGCCTATGGTTTTCAATTAATTTACGGCTTCCATTTTTATGGATAGGTCGAACCTTGGCTTCACGTCAAATCTCAGGAAATGTATGTGATCTGATACTTAAGTTATAGATTTTAGTTAAAGGTGCAGCAAGAATAGGTGCACAATCACGGATTAAGTGTGCAAGTATACCATCAGGTCCACTAGTGAACTTGTTTTTCATTTTCTTTAATGCCATTTTCTGTGAAGCTATTCAACACAATATTGTTTGTAGCAATAATATCATCATCTGGCCTAGCTGCTGCATTGGGGGTAGAATACACAAACTGGAAAAAATTAGCGAAGGCATTTGCTATATCAACAGGTTTATTGAAAACACAATCATGTGTGTGCCTTTTACTTTTGATGAAGGACCAAAACTGATTTGGATCTTTTTTTATGCAATTTTCAGTCTGCTCTATGTACTTTTTATACGCATGACTAACGTCTCTTATAATTCTTTAAATGCATCATAGACACTCACTTCTTGACGTTTCCTGTGTATATATTTCGACAGACTTTTTCTGGCTAAAATAAAAATGCGTGAGAAGCACTGAAAAAGACTACCTAACATCATATTTTTGCTATGTGCGGCAGAGAATTGCAACGCTCACATGCAGTGCAACACTGCACCGGTTTGATAAAAGAAAACGTCAAATCTTCCTACCGACTTTGAATTGAAATCCTACTACTTTTCATTTCCAAATCAAATGTGAAGGACGCAAGAAATTTAATGGTGCATTTTAATACACACATCACGCATGATGGAATTGCTCTACATGAGTCGGCAGAAAATATATTGAAATCACAATGTCGAATAGCTTTATAGGTGGTTGATAATGAGATAGTACTACTCAATCATTTTTTGGACAGTATGGTAGTGTAGGATAGTTGACCTTTACTGAAAAATTCAGTATCTTACGGGTAATTTCACTAATAGACAAGCGGTTATTGAATAGATGCCTTGGGGCAAACATTTCAGCTACGTTCATGAATTCAATAAGCTAGAATTTTTCAACTGAATCTGCTTTTATAATTTTTAACCTCAAACTCTTTATGCTTTGGCATTATGTGTACCACAAGGTGTCACAACTACTTTGTCAGCTCAGTGTAACTCATAAATTGCTGTTACCAAACTGCATCTCCTTAACTTGAGCAACAAGATCCTAAAAGTAAAAACAGTCATAATAAAAAATACACACTCTCTAGTAAAGTAAAAAATTAACTACTGAAAGATACTAATAAAGCCCAGCGAATCCTCAAAGTTCGATAAAGGTACAACCATAGAAGATAGGTACTCATAAAATTCTATTCGAGACAAAAACGGGCAACGCTCTAATCTGTTAAAGTAGATCTACTTGATACAGCCTGAGGGAAATGTTCGAAGACAGTCTCTTATGAAATATTGATATATCCAGTGTCGCTGTCGTTGCGCTGCTAAGACGAATCTAACAACACTTCATACGTCAAAATCCAATAGGTTGTTTTGACTGTAAACTGCCTATCCTGTAGATCCTGCAAGCAAAAACGTTTCTAACGATAAAAAATGCACCCGTGTGTTGAGGAAGAGTCGTACAAATTGCAACACAAAGGAAGCTAACAAGTCCTAACAAATATTCAAAGTTTCAAAATCAGCTTGGCGAAACCGTTGGTATGTGATGATCGCCCAATTTCCATCTACCTATGCACAATAATTCAACTTTGTCAAATCACCACATCCATTTGTTGCCGCACTGATGAGTCGCTAATGAGCACAAAACAGCGCTGTCTGCGGTTGGTCATGGTTAAAGAAAATGAAAAGCAAACATGTTCTTTTCAAACATGTAAGAGTAATTCCACCACAGCAATGCCCATAGCTATATTCAAACTTCACACCTAACGAACGCCGTAACAATAGAATTTGATCAAAGTCAAAGTGATATAAGATCCTGAAATTATGTTTCTGCTAACGCGTCTTGGTCTTATTTACACCTCTTCATAATAAGCATAAACGTATTACGAGGGATGTCTTTCAAGTCTTGCATATGAAAATAAAACAACACGGTAGGTAGTTTTAAATAAATTTATTGTTTTTCGAAGTATTCTCCACGAAGATAAATACACATCTGCATGCGCTTTAACCAATTTTCGAAGCACTTATTCCACTCGTTTGCTGGCAGATCCAAAACGGCATTTTTGAATGCGTCAACTGGTTCTTCTGGTGAGTGGAACCAATCAGTCTGTTTTTAATTTTCGGGAAAGTAAAGAAATCGCTAGGACTTAGATCGGGACTATTTGGAGGATGGTCCAATAATTCCATGTTTTCTTCCGTTAAATACTGCCTGTGTGCGAGCTTGCATTGTATTGGTGAAGGATGATTCTTCTTTCGGGGTTGATTTTTCGAAGCTCGGTGATGACTTTTGGCAAACAAATGGTGGTATACCAATCCGCAGTAACAGTTATTTGCTCATTAAGATTAATTGTTACAATATGATCCGCTTTTGACACAAATGTCGCGAGCTTCTTTTTCGAAACACTTCGAGAACGGATGACTTTTGTTGACTTTTCTTCACCTTGGAACACCCAAACAGCCGACTGGTTTATAACAGTAAATCGACGATTCATCACCACTAACAATGCTCGATCAAGCGTTTTTTGACACCAATTAACCCTGGATGCTTTCTGCGCTTCAGTCAACAGGTGGGCTATCCAATGAGAAACTAATTTTCTTACTCCTAATTCTTCATGTAAAACTTTTTGAATTGAGGTCTTTGAGATCTTCAAGGACGCCTCAATCTCGCGATATGTTACATGTCTATCTTCAATGATGAGTTTGCGCACAGCATCGACGTTTTCCTAGGTGACTGCCGTTTTTGGTGCACCCACCCTGGGATCGTCACTAAGACTCACCCGTCCACGTTTGAATTCTTCATATCAACGGAAAATTCTCGACTGATGTGGCGCTTCATTGCCGAAAACAAACAGTAACTCAGCAAGGCATTCTTGTTGCGATAATTGTATCTGAAAGTTGTAATAAATTATGGCGCGAAAATATTCTCGGTTGAGTTCCATTTTTCTAATGTCTTGGTGACACTTAAAAATTCACTGTAGTGAGAACACTGCACGTATTGTTGTGAAACTTTGAATTTAAGTGTACTAAAGAGTGAGGTTAAGATTCAGTACTGACGTTCGATCCGCACTGCCTACTATGTTTCTATATGCAAAACTTAAAAGACATCCCTCGTATACTACAACCTCATTTTACTTCCTGATCGCAATCTTTACACTTTTCACCAAACTCAACATGTCTCCCTTCATTCAGTGAAATTTATAAATTCCTATTACAAAATAAGAGTCGACAAGCAGAAACGTTTCTCACAATAAAAATACGCCCATGCGTGGGAAGTAAAAAGCGATGCAAACTACTCCTACATAAAGGAAGCTAACAAGCCCCAACAAATCTTCAGTGTTGGATAAAGACGCATCCATATAAGTCCATCATAACAATGGCCATAACCATATTCGAACTGCACAACTAACAAACGAGGTAACGATAAATAAAATTCGATCAAAGATCAAATCAAAGCTCCAATATGTTCGTAATCTGCAAGCAAATAACTACACCGCAGCTAACTTTACAATAGGAAGTCCTTTTACGGTGCCGAAAGAATTATTCAAATGAAATAGTGTAATGAAGGGGAAAGTTGTGCTCATCTCTTGCTTTCATCAAAACATACATTGTGGTGAGAGCATCTGTAAATCTAAGTACACCGCACAGTGGCGCAGCAGCCGGTTGTTATGTAGGAAACTGAAAGCAGCATATTTCAGTCCAAATCGAAGATAAATCTTTCTAGTATTCTTGAAAACTGTAATATTAGTTTTAAGAAATTTCATGAGGATCTGTGGGGGAGTAGTAGGGAGGGTGCGGAAGAGTTGAACCCCGTTAGACTCCGACATGCACAACTTTGTAATTAGGCATTATAACTTGGCCACTCAAAGATATATATATATATATATATACCTATAGGTTTTAGAAAAATTATATGTAATTGGAGTGTTCCCAACGCATGGGAGAGCTGACCATAGTAGAAGGAAGACTTAACCACATCCAACAGTTTTTAAATATCAAGCAGAATATTAAAAATATGAACAAACGACATATTAAACTTATTCTATTCTGAAGCATGCAATATAGGAGTAGACAAGCAAAAATTTGAATATCAAATAATCTCTAAATTAAAAGTAGCAAAAAACAATACTTTTTTTAACAAATAATGAGATAAAACATAACATAATGTTTTTTTATAATTTCAGTCCCTATGACTTATCGCATACATGACTTATTGAATTTGTATCGTCTCTATTGGCCAATCCGACACATATCTCGTGAGCACGTCTCTTGCAAGAAACAGAAAGTATCCTGTCTAAAGCCTTTTCCCTTTAACTTACAAACCAACACCAAGGGACTCCTCAGTTGCGAGCTTTTTAACATCACCTGATACCACTAGAGCTATTAGTGTACTGTTTTCTGTAGAGAGGAACCAGATTTCACGTCTAAAATAGAGCTTTTTAACTCCTAGGTGGAAACATTGTTGCGAGACATACCAGAAGGATAGTTGATCCGCTGATCATATCTTCCTCGCCCATGATGGATCAACTCTCGTTAACCAAACGTCATTTACTTTATTGCGAAATTGCGAAAAGACGATTGGTTCTCAAAACTGGACCAATTCAGTGATCTAACTAATACGAAACTCATTACGTTCCAAAATAAATAAAGAGGTAACACAAAATCATTTAATTTCTCACTGTTACCTCGGCTCACTGACGAACCAGTGTAGTAAGAGTCAAGCCGGACGTGTGATCAGCAATAAGTACATATGTATATAAGTGATCAGAATAGAGCGAAATTCACCTGGTAAGTCCCCCTACTTCTTCAAAGGTACTGTTGAGGTGAAATAGTACCTATGGTGCCGGTGTCCACATAAAAAAGTAGTTGTAAAATGTGTGCCTGTCACAAGCCCATGCATTCCCCCACCGGAGATCTGGTGTCGTCCCCTTTCATAGCGGTTGGCACGTTAAAGTACTGAAAATTATAAATCATAAACCTGAATCGCCTAAATACGTATTAAGGTAGAAGCAGATTTTATTTCTTTTATCAAGTCTTCTTAAGCAATTACTTTTTTATTTATCATTATATTTATTCAATACAAACATGTGGTTTTGGTAACGATATTCTTTATGTGTTTTGGATTATGAAATCCTGTTAATATTCAACCAAATATTTAAGTATATATACTAAGTGACATATAAGTTGCAACACCGAGAATTATTTATTGAATTTTGATAGAAACGTGTAAACATATTTGCTATCATGGAAGTACACGCTGATAAAATGTTGAAGACATTGCGAACCGCACTTTTTTGAAAAGGCTTTTTTTTATCTTATCAGGATCCGAACAATATGGACATGTTTACTTAATATTCATTCGAGGTATCATGACTGC